TACTGAGTAATCTGGATCTCTACTTAGATAGCTATGTTAATAAGGTCGTAATAGGTGCTGTAATAATTGCATCCTATGCCTCATACCTGGTTACAGAACAAAGACTGATTAGTTCGCTCGTCATGTGATGTGTCTTAGAGTTCCTTATGAAGAAGATTTCTATTTAAATTATTGATTAGGTAGGTAAGTATAGACAGTGGAGTTTTTGTAAAGGAAACCATCTTTCAATCAGTTTATTTGTAGTGTGGTACTGTAGCAGTAGGTGCTACAAGTTATTTGAAGTTTTACCTTTTATTTGATTTATAGCATACGAAAATGGTCTGCCCTTTTGGCAAAAAAAGAAATGATTAAAAGATCTTATGATATAGAAGTGGCTGAGGAATGTCAATGAGCTAAATATGAATCCGAAAAGTTCAATCAAGTCACAAACATATGTAACTTTATGTATCTGAAAACTACATACATAAACTTACATGAATATGTTTTAATACCAAACCATTGGCTGATCGTGAAGTCTTATGAATATCATTACAATCATTTAAGCTAATAAGTGTCGATCCAGACATTAGAAGGCTATAGTTATAGTTTCGAATCGTCTGCACCTCGTAGAATGTGTTCGCAGAACATTAATATTAAACGTGACATCCATACGGTTATATTGAATAGAAATTATAGCGCGCTAGTCGGTAGTAAGTGTATAGAATAGTTAGTAGCAGGAATATTAATACAAGGACTGGTTGAATCACATCTTTTCTTTACTTCCCTTTGGCTTTGTTAACGTCAGACAGTATAAAAGAAGAAACCGATACAAGAAAACTGTTGTTTCTGTACGCATAAAAGTCTATATACAAAGATGTATCATGCATGACAGCTATACCTAATAATTTATATCAGTACCTATATATATGACGATGATATAAACAATGCTGAGTGATTATTTATTTATTTAGAAAATTTACATATTTAACACTACAGCTTACGCCATTAAGTTATACTGTTAATACTATTATCTGTAATCCCATTTATTTTTGATTTTCAGAAATCAAAAGATAGAAGATTAAGAGGAATTATCTGGTTAGGTTTTAGGAAGAATACATATAAAACTTTCTTATTGAAGTTTTAATAACTTTATAACAATCCTTAGTGTTATTTATAACGCAAAAAATGGATGTGAACTATTAGTACACAATTCTACATTCTGAACCAAAACACGCTAGTGGAGCCGAGAAGCAGCCCAACCATGTGCGCCTGAATTCTAGTTCATAGATAAGATATAGTACAAAAATAATGTGGGCAGTTCGGGAAAATCATAGCACTAACGTTATGAGGTGCAGAGTTATTGAACAATAAAATCTCTATTATTAACCATTCTGCACCCAATAAATAGCAACGAACCTTGAATAATTCACTATTAAGTTTCAATTTTACTACCAATATAATCCTTCATCAACTAATCACACAATCGGAATGCAACAAATTGTTCAATGCAAGAAACTCAATTAGCGATGTATGTAATTTCAATTACCTTTTTTATTGACTGCCTACAAATTCCTTGAAGCCATGAACCAAAAAATGCTCTCATAAAGATGCAACAATACTAACAAGTCTGCGTTTTAAAAAAAAATTAATTATCTGTCAATTAATTACTGTTTGATGGATCTACTCATAAATATTTCAATTGAACAAGTTTTAACGTTTTGCCATAAAGGGTCGTGTTTAATTGAACATGTACTTTATCAAGGCTACAGAAGGTTTTAAATTCTCGGCCTAAATTATGTGGAACCGGCTCTGCAGGACAAGATCTGATAGCAAATAATTGCTAAAGATAAGGTCTACACATTGTTCCAAGTTCCCACCTGCACTATTTATCACTCTTGTCAAGATAAAGATTTAACAGCCAAGTTTTTGCAACGATTATATCGTTATTAAATTAATATCTTATATCCTACGACAGTATTTGCATAGTTCATTACGAATTTACGAAACAAAACAAGAATTCGAATCGTAAATCATTTTGCAATCGATGGAAATATTCCTGAGATATTTCACTTTCTTGACGTATTTATGTCAAAAACCCGGTTTTTCGATGTTAGTGACTTCATTTTAAAAATGCTTTTAGCGTTCACACGAATCACAATCATTTCTATAAAAATCTTTTCCGGAAGAACGTAAATCAGATAAATTCTGGGAATTTTGGGAAGATCAAAGTCTTCTTTGGGGAACTGGCCAATATTTAGTTATATGTCAGAACACATCAGTGATGGGCCGGTGGATATCAGTTCATGATTCAGCGTGTGACTGGAGCATTGACCCATATTCGAGCACCGCGGGACACTTGGCAAACGCCACAGTTTAAAATACGATCAGCCATAGTGTCGTTGGGTGGAACGAGCCACAGTCCGCCAGTGTAGGGTTACACTAAATTTGTTTCATGATCCGGTGATAAAATAAGCATACCTAACGTACCTATTTCTATGAATTCATCCATCGAACGTTCTGTTCTACATTTTGCAGAACAGGTTTTCTGGTACTCCGTAATAGCATTCCAGTTTATTTTAAAGAATATACCTTGAAGTATTGTTATATAACAAATGAGTATAACTGTGAGATGTAAGCATACAACACTATAATAGTTGCCAACATTAAAATTTTCCGTTGTACATAAATTCACATTAATTGGTCACCAGTACCGCCATATTGTTTCTTGAAATAATTCATGTTAATAGAATTCTGCATGCAGAATGAATTTGTTTCACGTACAATTCCAAATAATTATTCTTTTTCTTTTATTTAAACAAGAGACAAATTCATTGTCATCCTATTACTCATATTTGCTAAATGTCTTAGTATTATAATGTATTGCCTTTTTACAACGAATTTTGGCGAAGACAAACTGTTTTGTAGTCATTATATTTAATCAAGAAATTATTTCGCTAACATATAACTTCTTTCTTTTAAATTAACAACTTGTATAGACCTGATTAAACTGTCAAACACCAAGCGGTCACCGGTGACCGCAACCTATTGTTCTATAATTGTGTCTACAAAACCGGTACTCGACGAGTTAATGGCATTTTGACAGGTATTTTGACAGTTGCACGCGTATAAGACGCCATGTTGATTTTTTGGCTTTAGAACACGCTAGTGTGAGTAGTGGGAGTAGTGTGACAATAAAAAAAATCACGAGTCAAATATTTATAGGACGTCTGAGTACTCAAGGTCACTTCAAAAAATTAATAATGGTTTGCTTGTGAGGATGTATATAACACTCTTGACCATACTTAAAATAGTCAGTGTAGCGACAGTCGGTCTACAACAACGAGTACGAGTAATAAGTTACAAAGTAACTTCATCATCACCTGGATTTCTATAAATTACTTTTTAATATAATTGCTTTAGTTGTATTAACCTTTTGAACGCCAGAGCAAAAACACATGAACCTGCCTTCGACACCAAGCCACAAATTCCACGCAAATTTCTACGAAAGAAATAGGAATTATTGGAATCCCTATTGTATCAACAATAGAGATTCCAATAATTCGTGTTTCTGGTTCCGCTTTTTCTGTCATGTATTTGTGTCGTTGACGTCCAGGGACAGTTTTCGCTTGTCGCGTATATGTGACATTGGCGCTCAAAAGGTTAAAAAGCGGTACAATGAAACTCATGTTCCACTTTCTCTGCTTACATATTAAGGCACAAGCCACGCATTAGGAACATGTTTCACTTTCGCGAAAATTAACGCAATACGAACTATTAAATTGTATTTATACTGCCTCGTTGGCCGAGTGGTGGCATGTGCGACTGCTGGGCAAAGGGTCGCGGGTTCGATTCCTAGGTCGGGCAAAGTATTACTGGGTTTTTAAAAAATTCTCAGTAGTAGCACGAAGTCTGGAATTGTGCCCGGTACATGGCAATAGGCTCACCCCCTATTACAAGGGACTCATAACATAAATAGTGAAAAGTGGGTGTTACATTGTATAGTGGCATAAAGTACACCTCTGCCTACCCCTTCGGAGATAAAGGAGTGATGTTATGTTTATTATACTAGCAGCTTTACTAAGAGGCTTAAATTTGTACGGTTTATATAAAAAAATGGACTATGATATACTTACTCATGCGACACATCAAATTTCTGATTCAGTGGGCTAAATTGACTTTTAAATCTCGACTTCATGCAAAAAACGTTCGCAAGTGACAAAAAAGTCTATACTCCTAACCAAATTGTTTGTTCCATATGTGTACATACATCAGTACAAAATACACGACAGAGGCCAAATAGTAACAATCCGGAACCCATTATCTGTAATTTACGTCTATTATAATGAATTTGCAATCATCCCATAGAAATCATTTGATTGAACAGGGCCTCGGCATGCGAAATGAAATTGCTTGCGCACTTTTATGGTACAGTCGATTGTGAAATAGAGGCAGATAACATACAATTATATGCCAACTTTCTCGACGTCTCTTTATAATTTGCAATCATAAAAAAACTTCCCACAAAAAATACTCTCGAACGAGAGTAACGACAGGTTAAGTGTAAATTTCTAAATGTCAATTAGCATTTCAATTTGATATGTCGACATAATTAACTGTTAGTCAACCTAAAAGTCTGTGTACCTAATAATTAAGACTAGCACGGCTTGTTTACATTTGTCTGCCTAACGAGGAATAGCACCTTTCTCTTCAAACAATAACACAGCGATGCTGAAGAAAATTATTTAGAAAGGCATCTTCTGTTGTTTTAGTGTATTTCTGCAAATCAGTTGCAGTCGGTCTTTCGAAAGCGAATATTAACGGCCGTCACATATTCTGTTTATTGCATGTACCTCCGTACATACGAATTTCAGTAAAAGTAAAAGTTTTAGAGATTATATGAAAACATCGCATTTACTAACATAGTATAATAGTGTTTTATGTTTAAGCGTATACTCTGGTTACTACTCTACTCTTTTGGTTTGACTTTATTTTACTAAACAGCTCTTTTCTGTTTGTTTCAGTGTCAACATTTCTACCCCAAACATTATGATTTACAAATGGATATTATGATAAGAGTGAAGTGCTGTCAAGAAACTAAAAACCCAAAGTGACGAAGTGCCCTGTAGGTGTCTGTTGTGCTACCGTTCCGTTGCCTTCCCCTTACCCATTTAGTATTCAAAATGTCTGACAAGACCTCGTCGTCGGTCGGCCCGCGGAGTTTCGAAACGATTTCTGAGGAGGACCTCACCGCGTCGCCTTGGGAGAAACTGTTGGGAGAGGTGAACACTGCTGTTCCTACGATAATAAAGACTAATGTGTCGAGTACAACAATCTCTAGAAGCGGTGAGGAGGTATCCAAGAACCCTCAAGCCGAGGATCTGGAGGCGAACAAGTTGACGCGATCCAAGAGCCTTAATCAGCGAAGAAATAGCAGCGGCCTCCTCAGCACGTTCCCTCGGCAGCTGAGACTCTCACTGCGAGGAGTTCGGAGCGAACCTTCAAGTGTCAAAGATGTGCCTACGACCAGGAATGACAGCTCTCTCAACCTCCTTCTTAGGTGAGTAGTAGTATTTAATATATTGAAAGATCTTTCAAGTAAAAATAATAATAACGTATTTTTTATGCCATTTCGGATTATTATTATTCAAGGTTTAAGGAAAGGGCGCCTGTTGCCGATTGACGTCTATTCAATAAATTACCTAAGTAGGTTCCTTTAAAATGTTATAAAACTGACACATTAACACAATGTGATATGGTTGACTCTTGATAAAAAGAGGAAATCATCATGTAACCTGACCCGCTGATCTACTATGTTTTCCATGACACAACTACAATTTCATTTATGTACCACGGCAATAATATTATTACCTAGTGGAATATATTAGATATCACTTATTAGGAGTTTTAAATAATGACATAATAATAATTTTATTAGAATAGCATAACCTCATAGACTAGATACATACATATAAAATTATCATTGAGAAACGATCACACGCGTGACCCTTGCTATGTCGTGCCCTTGCAACTGCAGTTTGTAATTTATCGTCACGTGCCATTGGACTTCATGAAGGAATTTTCATTAGAAAATACATGCCAGGTCAAGAACAAATAGCATTAAATGAACAAGACATCTAACTCCGTAATAATATTCTTCATCGGAGCCATCACAATAACCATCAAGAAGAAGTTCTCTATACTGTAATTACAACCTTCATGGTCTGAAATACGTGAGGCTTCGCGCTGATTAGTTTTACAGATGCGACTTGACCTACTGTCTGTTGCGCTATTTTAAGGATAATTGATTAGCTGGGACAATGTCAGGGCTTAATTACCGTAGCAAATAAAGGTCTTTTGTTATTGATTAGCTATATGCAGATGAAAAACAAGAGAGACATCAAAGAAATAATTTCTCAAATATCAACTAAAGACATTATTCCTCACTCGTAGAACCTGTCAATATAACAACAGGCTATCAATAAATCCACATCGGCCACGTTTGAAATTACGAGGCTATAAAACACTGTGTAATTTGATAGTTTTATTTATGTGCAAGCGAATAATGAAACGTCATAAAAGTCAGGAATGGGTCTTCCGTTTTTAAATGATCATCAATTCCTAATAAAAAGATTTTTACCGATAACTTTCTCGTATGCAAAACTGCAAAGGAAGCGGACGTCCTTATTTAAATACGAATTGCAGGAAACAAGGCGCCCGAGGTAGACAGCCAGCCTAAAACAATGCGTCTTGTTCACAATGATAGACTGAATGATTGGAAGTAGCAATTCAGGGCCATCCGTCAGCGCAATCCGTGTCCTCTTATTTTTATCTCCTTGTCACTAGTTGTGAATACAAATGACTTTTCAATTGATTTGGACTCGTCACCGTCGGATACAAGGGAATAATTGTATTAACATACGCAATACGTGAGGGCCATTTTGGAATGGGTATATTAGGCAGATGGCTGAGATTTATGACTGATAAGTGTAGTTATTTGCCATTATAGTTATTGGTGTTCGACCACCCAGTCTGGAATGGAATGTTAAATGATATGGACTTATAATGACCATTTAAATATTAAGGAAATCTGGGTATCATTCTTATTTTATTTTTTATTTCATAATATTTCTACTATAATTGCACTAATAGCTGATATTAATATTCAAAAAATAATAAGAATGCACTCTAACAAAGTATTTTGAAAGCCTCCAATATTCGACCATAATTATATTTAGATGATAATATAACCTTAATGGATGGACCACCAAACGCAATTTTAATTTCAAACACCTAAGCTGAGAATATGTTGATGCTTTTACCCGAAAAGAAGGACATGTTTATAAAAATTCCTTGAATTGATCTATGTAGTACGTAATGATGTTCAATATCAAGCTATTCTAAGCAAAACGTGACTCTATGATAGTAGTTTTCCGTATCAATAAAAACTTGATCGCGAATAACAATAATAGATTTGAACTAAGTAACAGTTTCAAACGGTGCTTTGTTCGTTTTTTTGGCAATATTATAGGTATTTGACTTTTAGGCCACTGCCCCTAGAAGAGACACCAAAAAACTAATTTAAGAATGTAACTGATAGAACTACTCTAAAATCACATTTATTGGAATAGCTATTCAAGTGATGGACCATAATTACATATTTAAATTTTTAGAAGATAACCAAATTAACTGCTGCTCCATTTTGTCTCTATTTAAAGGTACATAAGTACATGTGTATTACTATTATCTTAACACGAAGCTAGTTGTGTCAATAACCTACATTCGTGTCGTAAAAAACGACTTACTGAGATGATAAAAGATAATGAGTTTGTTACTGATACAGTTACATTATTTATCAGCGTCAATACGTAACTGTGTTTATCAAATGATAGCTAGGTCATGAACATAAGGTCAATGCCCTAAACTATAAAAAAGAATGAGTTTGATGACATTGATTCAATCAAAGTTACACATTTCTACAAATAGATTATTAAAACAGTCATAATGTACTACGGATTGCTCTGTACTCTATTGAAATAAAGCAATTTCGTCCAGATTACAGCAGTACAAATCTCCTTGCAAATGATTTATAGTTCCGTCCAACATAAATTGTAGCAGTGTGTGCCTATTCGCATTTTATTGGCACACTTAAGAATTATAGCACACAGAAAGCTTTGATCCCGAAAATTTACTTGGTAAAAAGTGCAAATATATTTTTACGTGGTATCAAGGCACCGGTGTACGACGTAGCGAGGCCATTCACATCCTTCGGTCACACTCCGATTGTTGGCCAAATGTGTGGTACGTGTGTTGGTGCCAATATTTGTACTCCAACATTCGCCCCACATCCTGGCAAGCCTTATCACCAGTCGACTCGACCTGGATACGAATTTCTATGTACATTTCAAATCGTAATATTAGTTTAAGACCGTGGTTAATTCTACTTTAGAAATATACGAGGGAATGACTTTTAAACCAACGAACGTTTGCATATTTTATAACTAACAAATAGGCTGTGAGACATTGACAATTTACATGAACAATATTTCACGAAGTAAACCTATACAGATTTTGAACACCAGACTAAAATTCACATAGCCAAACTGATCTAGACTTTCGCTCTCTCTCTGTTTTTCTTGGACAAAATTTCGAAATATTTTAAAGAGACAGACGGGCTAAAAACAGCTGGTGACGCGTATAATTACGAAACGTTTACGTATCTACCTTAAGTTGTCACCTGTTCAAACAAGGTTATAAGAACCTCTTGGTAACTGTGTTGTTTACAATATTAACATGGACTCTGTAATGCTGCATTTCTGCGAAATTTAAGTGTAAATGAATAACATTGTAGCAAAATAGGTGTAAACTAGGTACAAAGCCGTATAAAATAATGTGTGTTACGTGTCCTTTTGTACATTTCTAGAAACCGTTTAGTGTTAAGCTGTTTTATTTTCCTTTGAAAGTGGTTAAGATAACGCTAGGAGGAAATGTAACAATATTTTATGGTTTAGATGTCCTTGTTGTTACTTGAAACGAGACATTCCATACAGTTGTCTAGATGCAAAGCTATATATAAGATTAGTGACTAGGACATAATGACTATTCACTAAGGATATAAGTATGTAGCGTACGGCGCGTCGCGTTCCGCGCGCGCCTCAAAGAGCCATCAGACCACCACAGATGGGGCCCAATAGGGCCGATGCCGATTCGGAGTCGCGGAGAACCTAACGGGTAACCGGGGCTCCGGCTCGACGTGCAGGAGAAGGAACGGGGTGGTTTTTAGTCAGTAAGAGTCTGACACTCCCTCCCGCCTCATCCAGGCGGGAGCAGTCATTCGATGATTTTCCCCCCTTAAAAAAAAAAAAAAAGAATATAAGTATGTAGGTACAAACATAAGTAACTACTCGACTACGTATCTTATTGCGTGAATAATCCATAAAGTAACTTGTGTTCTGGCAACAGAAGACTGCAGAGACAACAAACAACCCGTTTGAAGAAGATTTCACAACACGACCCAATGAAAGTGGTACAGCGTTATTCACAAAGCGTAAAACATCCGACGACACTTGTGACATCGGTACATGCAATAATCGCCAAGTTGCCATACAAAATACAAGTAAAATGTAGTGAAAATCGGCTACTGCATTTTCGTTACACCATACCCGGATAATTCCTATGCCAAGAAATCTACATACGGAGGAAATTTTCGCAGTTTTCCTTATCCAGATTAACATTTAACGATAGATCTTCTAATCTAAACAAAGTTTCCTTTATTTACACTAGATACACTTAAGCTTGTCTATTATCTTTTCCTTAGGGACTTACGTCAAAAGATCCTTTCAATGTACCTAACAATTATTTCTTAGAATCAGTTTTGCAGGTAGATATAAGTATTAATTTTATTGATGTTTGTTCACACAATGTCTTTATTTATTCTCTGAATGAGGAAGTCAGTTTATTTACCTGTTTTGAATATATCAGTGGATTAGACGGCCATGTTGTTAATCAAGGAAAGTCATCCTACGTTAAAGTAAAGGCGTTTCACATGCCAACAACCTGAACTGTTGAATTTCACTTCAAGCGAATCACAAACAATTTCTAAAAGAAAACATTTTCAAATGCTTATGGAAGAGAAATATTGTTTATGAAGTTATTGAAACCAGCGCTAAAATTAACATCAAGCTAAACATTCGCTCAATCCCAGTTCGTTAAGGTGTGGTTTTATTACAACAACAAACAGGATTAGGAATAATGAATTTGTTTGTGGTAACTAAGTTTGTAATAAGAAACTTGACGTCTATATTTACGTAGACAGCTTTAAGGAATATCAAAATTAAAACTTGCATGACGCAGAAACCATGACAACTGTACAATAATTAAGATTAAACGTTCTAAATACTAGAAATACTAGAATGACGTCATCGGAACAGAGCCAGTATGACAATGATTTGTTATAAACCAGAAACATTTCGAGTGACCAATTTCAATGGATACGTAATGACTAATGGAGCAGATCTATTTCAGAAGAACTATAAAGTATACGTATAATAAGCAAGATAC